CCCCACCCCCTCCTGTCGGGAGCCGGCACACAGGGTGTGAGTGAGCTCCCTGAGGACCGGAGTCCAGCTGGGGATGAGGGGAGTCCTCGCAGGGGGCGCAGACCCACTCCTGGCCGGTCACCACCACCGCCTCCTGGGACATGGCCTGAAGCCGTCTTCGATCCCTGGCAAACCCGTGGCCTGAGAGAACCGGCCGTCGGCACAGCCCAGCTCCCAGCCGGCTCTGATCTTGCAAGGCCACCTCTCGCCACAGGCATGTCCATCCCTGGCGGTGAGGAACCCTCAGGCAGGCTGGCTGCGCATCCCTCTGCCGCCTCCACAGGCCGTCCTCCAGCGCTGAGACAACAGCCCACACTCTCCCCCACCCCACACTCACTACGGGGAGCTGCATGGGCGTCTCCAGCAGCGCTTCCCGGAGATGAGTCCTGAGTGACTGACGCTGTGAAGCGTGGTGTCCTCAGGGTCTGGTGACACAGGCATAGGCAGGAGAGGAACATGTAGGTTATGTAGACTGACCACTAGGAAATGGCAATGCTTACAGTTTTAAAACACTTTCTTATAGTAATTTTCAAATAACACAAAATTCCCATGAGTGTGGTGCAGATCCATAGCCACCTGATGTTTCCTCTCTCACAGAGTGACGGGCGGGGAACTGTTTGAGGACATCGTGGCGCGAGAGTACTACAGCGAGGCCGACGCCAGGTGAGTGAGCGCCCCGCACCTCCTGCCCTGCAGCGCCCGTGCGGCCTGGACTCAGCTCCATCCGGACTCCGTGAGGACATCCCCTCACTGGTGGTTTTCTCTGCGGGGTTTCCAAGACAACTCCCTGGAAAAAAAACCTATGAGTCTGGTCTAAACTTTATTTTTCTCTGGTGTCTGTAGTTAGAGTGTGCATTTCGTTTTTCTGTTCTTTACTGATTAAGACATTTTATTTTTTAAAGCCTCACTAGAATGGCTTCTGCTAAAGAAATACACTTTTTTAGCAGATGTGAGAGATGGAAGATTGACACCCACTGGTCTCCAATCCCCGCTCCCAGTGTGCCTAGTCACTTAACGACTCTTCGACTTCTGTTTCAGTTCATTAAAATTAAGTAAAATTAAAAGCTCAGTTCTTGGGTTGCACCGGCCACATCTCAGGGGCCAGGGGCTATGATGGGCAGCAGGTCCGAGCACCGGCCTCTGGGCTTTGGAGCGGCCCAGAGTCACCCAGAGGCCGGTCCCAGTCAGCTGGGAGCCCTTACAGCCCTGGGACCCGCATCTGGAAAACACTCATCCAGGAATTCCAGAGGGTTCCAGAGGCCTTTCCAGTCTCGTCACTGACAGATTTGTACAGAAGTTGAAAGTGGCTCCCATTTTGTCTCACTTGAAAGTGCCAGGCTGCCCAGAGGTGACGCCGTGAGCAGCAGCCGCTTGCTTAGGCCGGTGGATCTCAGGCCCCTCGCCTGGCACCCTGGTCGTCCGTCAGCAGGGGAGCAGAGGAGTGTTCTGAGAAGATCAAGGGAAGAGTTTTTATGGTTGAAGGATCGGGCTGGTCCGGCCGCCGCGGCCCGTCTCCTGAGCAGCGGGCTGCGCAGCTCCCTGGTCCCTGCACACGCCCTGCGCCTTAGCCCCACTGCTCATGGCTTTCTGTGGTCTCACCATGGCTGGCTCTGCTTTTCCACGGGGTTTCCACTGCCAGTGTCAACGGGAAGCTCCGTGTCACGTCTGCCCCGCTGAGTGACTTGCCAACGGCTCCCAGACCCACACCCTCGCGAGGCCCCTGCGGCTCCTGCGCAGCCTGGAGAACCTGCGCTGGGGAGGGCGGGGCTCAGGGTGGCCAGCAAGCTGGGGGCTCACTCGAGTGCTCAGTGCTAGGTGAGCAGCCAACATACGATCGAAAACTGCCGGTGAAGTTAAATATTAAGATTGTGTCACCATCGAAGGGCCCAGGGTGACGGCAGCCCCGTGGCGGGTCACCGTGCGCTTGCTCCATGGCGGTGGAGCTCACGGGCACGTTCAGGGGAGCCCGTCACATGCAGGAGACAGCACTCTCTTCTGAGCCACGAGTGTCAGCACCTTCTGCAAACGGTTTGCAGGCGTTGGCTGGTCAGGAAGCTCGGGTCCCGCCTGCTCACCAGGGAGCACGGCGAAGGCCTGCAGTGTGGGTGCTGTCTCCTTCCTTCTTCCCGTGACTCCTCAGGCCGAGAACCTGCCCGTAGTTTGAGAAGAGAAAGTGAGTTTCCCAGGAGGCAGTGTAAAGTGGGCGTTAAATAGAAGGAAACGAGCCCCAAGATCCAGGAAGCGCAGGCAGCCCTCAGGCGAGCCCTGGTGCAGCTGGCCACCTGAGGGCCCGGGGTCTCTGCAGCGCCAGCCCTGACCGCGTGTCGGCCCTGCCCTGGGTACACCAGGCGGTCGCTGTCCACCGGCTCCCCGTGGCGCGCTGCCCCGTACCCTGGTGGTGGAGCGCGTCCTCACTGAGCTCTCGCTTCCTCCGGCCGTGGTGTGGGCCTGAGCTCGGACGCTGCTGGGCGGTGGCCCACGTCACTGTCGGGGGACGGGAACGGAGAGCCACAGTGGGGGTCCCTCTAACTGAACGGCGTTTGCCAGCAGGGAGCAGGCCCGAGAGAGAGGGCACGGCTGGTGCATCTCCGGAGGTGACAGCAAGCGCTGCTCCAGGGGCTCCCGTTGTACCGTTTGCCCCTCGGCTCCTAGCCCTTCCCCAGAAGCAGCCCGACTGCCGCGGGCTCCACGTTGTGGGCAGACTTTTGGTTCTCCTTCTCCTGGGGACCTGTTAGTTTTCCTCCAACGTGTCGCGCCGGAGCAGTGCTGCCGAGTCAGACGGTAGCTGTGCCCCAGGTCCGACCCTCTCACCTGCCGCATCCTCCTCCTTCCCCCGGTGCCGTGGTGACCAGGCGTGCACAGTTCAGGCATGCGAGAGACCCCCATACGCTTGGTCCCTGAAGAGTTTCCCAAGACATGATGGGAGCGGGTACACGTTCTCCTCCTGGAAACCTTCCCTTCTGGGTAGCGTGATCGCGTTTGACACGGGGATGAACGAAGCAGCTCAAGTGGTTTTGCCTGAACATGCCACAGAGTCCGTGCTGGGACCAGAATCACCAGTACCTTCACTCGGCAGTTTTCAGTTCCTGTGTAAGGTTGGGAATTGGGAGAGAGTGTGATTGTGTGTGTGCTGGGACTGCACTGCCACCGGCACCCGGTCCCCAGCGCCCTCTGCCTTGTGTCTCCGCAGCCACTGCATCCAGCAGATCCTGGAGAGCGTGAGCCACTGCCACCTCAACGGCATCGTGCACAGGGACCTGAAGGTCAGTGCAGCCCATGTCTGGTTGAAGGAGCGTGTGATGTTTCTGTGGAAGAGCCAAGGGCGGGCACTTAACCTGGTTCCCTCGTTGCTCCTAGCTTTCCGCCCACACTGACTGTTGTGAATGATGCTCCGTGCCTCCCAGCTGCTTGTCTGCAGGCTAAACGCGCGTCACAGCCACGGGGTGCTGTGGCATCACAGCGACAGTGCAGGACGTGCCTGCTCTGGTTTAGGCAGTGCACCAGGGGGCGGGGCTGCACCAGGGGGAGGAGCTGCACCAGGGGGCGGGGCTGCACCAGAGGAGGAGTTTCACCAGGGGGCGGAGCTGCACCAGGGGGCGGGGCTTCACCAGGGGAGGAATTTTGCCAGGGGGCATGGCTGCACCAGGGGAAGAGTTTTGTCAGGGGACATGGCTGCACCAGGGGAGGAGTTTCACCAGGGGGCAGGGCTGTACCAGGGGCAGGGCTGCACCAGGGGAGGAGTTTTGCCAGGGGGCAGGGCTGTACCAGGGGCAGGGCTGCACCAGGGGGCGGGCTGCACCAGGGGGCGCTTTCCCTAACCCAGCGCTTGCCTGGAGGCCAAGGCCTGTGACGTGTGCCATCCTCGGAGTGCACACCACCTCTGTTGTGAGCCCCAGAGGCTGTGGTGGGAAAGCTGGCGGCACGTGGCTCCCCCAGGCCCTCAACCCTCGGTGGAGAGGGTCCCCGGGCAAGCAGGGCAGGCTTCTTAAGAACACATCGGTGTCTGAGAGTCACCCCATGTGCCCTGTGTCCACACGAGACCAGGAAATGGGAAGAATGGGGAACCACTTGGAGGTGCAGACGACAGCTGGAAGATTTTGTTTGTGTTCTAACCTAATCCTGGTTTAAAGGAAGCATCTTTAAGGTGGGTTTTTTTAGAACACACGGGCCCCCCGTTGGGCACACGTCTGGCAGGACCCTGCTTGTCCGAGGCAGTGGGTGCTGTGCCTGAGCAACGTGTCTGTGCTTCCGAGAAGGTGGCACGCCGGCTGTTCACCAGGCAGGGCCGGCTCCTGAGTGTGTGGGGACCGCGCTGCCCCTGGTGTTGGCACACAGTCGCTGCACTCAGGCCGCTTGGGCCACGGGGCACGAAGGGGCGTGGTGCCTGGACTGTTGAATGCAGTGCCGTCTGCAGCAGATCCACTGGGGAGCGTGGGCTCATTCCCACTCGGGACGAAACATGGTCCTCGCCCGCTGAGATTTCGGTTCCGAGTCTCCAGTGGCGGCGAGCAGCGTGATGGCCCCCTCGTTCTGGACTCATCTGTGGACAAGGGTCAGACCCCGCAGCCAGGCCGTGGGGGTCCCGATAGCGAGTGGGCGGTTACCCAGGTTCTAGAGCCGCAGGAGAGTCACTAGTAGGTTGTGGCCCCGTGAGGGCCGTCAGCCCGGGAAGGCGGAGGACGCCAGGCATCCTTTTTCCTTCATACGTGCCTCCCGGGGACCCGACAGGCCTTTCCAGTAGGTGAGGAAGGCCACACAGACGTGCTGACCAAGCAGGTTTACTGAGCACACGCACATCCTGACGCTCTAGGACGCCACTCAGCCCCGCGTGCCACGGACGACGAGAAACGTAGGTTTGGGAAGTGAGCGAAGGAGGGGCCTTGGTTTCCCGACTGTGCCTGTGCTGTTCAGAGGAGGCGGCCGAGAAGCGGAAATGAAGGAAGACGTGGGCAGGAGCATCTGCGTGTGAGCGCCGTGTGGGCAGTGGGTCTTCGTTTGAAACCTCGGCCTGGCCGGGCGTTGGCACCGGTGCAGCGGCTTGGGCCGCTGTGTGTCTGGTGGGCCCCTGAGGTTTCTCATGGGCAGACCTCTCTAGTGTGTGTCCTGGAAGAATATGTCTCTAAAGATCCACAGGGCATTACTTGAGGATGAGATTTGTAAGCAAAACGTTGCCTTCGTTTCTGGAATCTCCCTTTGACCTCAGTTTGCATCTGAGAGCATTCAGTGTCGAAAGCCCAGGCGTGGTCAGTGGTGTTTCCTTGGACGGCGCGTCCGCTAGCCCTTCGCAGGCCCCCTCCCCATCGGGATGAGGGGACAGCACGTTCCTTTGAAGATTCATTTTTCTGGTGATCTTATTCCTTCCACACCATGTGCGGACAGAGCCCTTTTGTTCCTTGTCAGAACGCAGAGCTGCTCATTTCCAAGCAGACCTACAGGACTGGCGCGTTTTTATGCGATGGGGTCGGCCGCTCTTTGTGATAAACGGACCATTTGAAATCTTCCTCCGTGTGTGGAAAGCCAAGGGCCAAGGATGGGGAGTGTCGCTTCTCTCCCAGGACCTTCGTCCTGCATTTTCTGGGTCGTGACGTGGATGTGTGTCCGTGTCCAAGGTCAGCTGAGCCCTTTGCGGGCGGGAGCGTGCATCAGCGCAGGCGGCAGGCCCGCGTGTGAGCTGTGCGCTAAGCTGCTCTCTGACCTGCGAGCTGAAGTCGCTGATTGGAAACTCGGGCCAGGACCTCGGGAGGGCTCGCTGCCGCACGGGCCGCTTCCCGCCAGGCGGTGAGGTGCAGCACCGCCCGCGCGGCTCTTCTGGGGAAGTGTCTGCTCCGTCCTCTGCCGTTAGAGGACGGGGTGAGCTTCGGGGAGCTCACTCCTGCTCCTGCCAGACGGCTCCCCGTTAGGCCCCCTCGGCCCCGGTCCCCGCGTGTTCCTGGGCTTGCCACAGCCCCGGCCACTGCTTGTCCTGGTCTCGCCCGCACCTGAGAAGGGGAAGGGGGCAGCTGGGCTCCTCCTACCTGGCTCTACACTGGACGTTGCAGTGACTGTTCTCAGGCCCTGGCTCCTGTGCTCGTCCAGGGACCATGCGGACGTGTGAGCACACCTCGGTCATCCACGCCCGTTAGAAGCCCGTGTTGCTGTCCATCATCAGAGGCCCGGCTGGGCGTGAGTGGGTGCTGACTGCAGCCCCTCAGGGAGCACTGCTGTGGCTCAGGGGGCTGCAGGGTGCGGTGCAAGCTGAGCGCTGAGGGGTCGCAGGGGCCTTCCGTCCAGGAAAGGCAGTGCCAGCACAAGCAGCACCAACTAAAGGTGATGGTTCCGCCCGTCACTGGCCACTGAGTAACGGAGACGAGTGTCTCTGAGGCAGTCACACCCGCAGGGCGGCCAGCCGGTGGGCACACCCGGTGTGGAGCCCCAGGACTGGAGACGGGCTGAGCACTGCAGGGCGGGCAGAGGCACCCAGCAGAGACCAGGAGGGGCAAGTGGGGGGAGTGGGAATTAGGGCAGGGGTACACGTCACTGCCCTGGCAGGATGGGTGTGTGTGGGGGGGGTGGGGGGGTGGATGGTGGGTGTGGGATGGATGGTGAGTGGATGGTAGGTGGATGATGGGTAGATGGGTGGTGGGTGGATGGTGGATTTGAGGTGGGGGGGTGGGTCAATAGATGATATAGAGGGACAAAGAGATGTTAATGAAGGTAGTAATTCTGGAGATTGGGGAGGATTTTAAATACTGTTTCATGGGAAAAAATTAAAGTTATGAGCAGAAAGGAAATGCATCCTTGGCGGGGGGTGGGGGGGGTAGGGTAAGGCATAGTCAGCTCTTGGTCACGTGGTGGTGCGTGTATCACATTGAGTTCCACACTGTGGACAGATCTAAAACCACAGCTCCTTTTCTGAGAGCCACACGTAGATGAGATGTTAGAGAACGTGTTTGTGCGTTATGTGTGTCTAGTATTTTAGGAACAAGCTGTGTGTGTGATAAATCCCACGGTGCATCGAGTCGCTCTGCTTTTTGCCATTGAGGCCTATGTGTGCCAGGCCAGGGGCGGCACTGGGTGTTGGCACAGGCAGCTACCTGAGCGTGTGCTGACGCGACAGCAGTCGGGGAACAGAGGTGCCGGCCTCGCCCACATGTGCTGATGGAAGCAGACCCCTGATCGCACGCTGTCGGCACGCGCTTCTGCTGGAAGCTCCCTGGGCCGAGCACACACACACGCACCCATTCCCTGGAAAATAAAACAAAACTCACGTGCCACGTGCCTGGGAGACCCCAAAAATCACATGTGCCACGTGCACGCAGACCCCAGAAACCATCTGTGTAAACTGGTCCAACTCTCGGTATCATTTTGCCACGTTCCTTCTGCTGAGTGTCTGCTCTGCAGGCTCTGAGCCACTGCCTGTGGCCGGGCCGGGCCCCGCGTGCCCTGGGAGCGGGCAGCACTCTCCCTCCTGCCCAGGGTCTGTCCATGCGTCCGTCCGACCGCGCCATGCAGGTCATCCTTTCCAGCTGCGTCGCCCTGGGTCAGGAACGGCCGCCCAAGAGGCCAGCGCGTGCCGGTTGCTCCCCGATCGCGGAAAGCGTGTTGGTTCAGTCACTCACGATGGCTCCCGTCTTTCTCCTTCTTCCTGAACCAGCCGGAGAATCTGCTCCTGGCCAGCAAATCCAAGGGGGCGGCCGTGAAGCTGGCAGACTTTGGCCTCGCCATCGAGGTTCAAGGGGACCAGCAGGCGTGGTTCGGTGAGTAGCCCCCCGGCCCCACCCACTCCCGACGAGAACTGTGGGGACGGCTCCCCACAGCTCCAGCGTGGAGACAGGGCCCACAGCACTGACCCTCCTGGCACTGCAGGGCGTCAGTCAGAGGGATCGGAGGGTGTGACGGGAGCAGCAGGAACTCTGCTGGGCGGGGAGGGCCGGAGCCGACAGATGCCGCTCGCTCACTCGCTCACTCGCTCAGCGCTCCTGGCTTCCCTCGGGAGGAGAGGGCCTCCGCGCCGCCTCACTGGACGCTGAGACGATGCAAAGAGCAGGACTTGGAATCTCGCAGCGCTCCCAGGCCTGGGATTCCTAAGTGAAAGTTTTAAGAAATAGTTAAAAGAACACATGTACATAGATAGGCGTTGTGTTCCATCTTAACACGTTAAGCGTCATGTCCGGACCTCGTCAGTCACTGTTGACTGACGATACACAATTTAAAAATTATATTCTTCTATTAATAAACCTTAAATAACTTGGAGATCATAAAGGAATGCACCTAAATATTACTTGTTCCCAAAAAGAATTTTAATGAATGTTATTACAACACGGTCTACGCAAACATGGTTGTCCTGTGCGGGTTCCACAGGTGTTACAACTGATTTGTCAACTTCCTGGCAGCACCTCCTCCAAATCGTGCTGCGCTGCCTTCGTGGCAGTTTTTACAATATCTGCGAGCTCTAGCCACTCTTCCAGTTTTTCGTTGCAGTTTGTGACGAGATATTTGAGTCTATGTACAGCACAGCTACTTGGAATTTCTTCATCCCAACAGTTTGTTAGATGGGCAGCTAATTGCTTCTGAAATTCTGGGATACACATATTCTTCTTGCTATTATTTTTAAATAAAATACAAGCATTGAGAGCAGCAGTATTTAGTAGGAGCTCAAAGGCTAGCTTTTATACCATTTCATGGGTTTTCGTGCCAGATTATCATAGGCACTCATTGATCACATATGTCAACTGCTTTTCCTGCATTGTGATCCACTACAGGTTTTGGTTTCAAGTGGTGACCTGACCTGTTCTCTGACGTGTGTTTTGTTGAAAGAAGTAAGATGTCCCCCTTATCTTTCCGTTTTAAAATGGTTATTCCTTTTTTTTTCTCTTTTGCTATAAATCCTCCGTTTTAATTTCTTTGGCGTTACTTCATGAGGACTTCCCCGTTAATTTGAACATAATGTTCCTACTAAATGAGGATTGTTATCGAGTAATTTATATGCTAAATCTAAACTCGTGAACCAGTTGTCTATGTACAATGTGTGTCCCTTGTTGAAAACATCTCTACAAAGAGACATTACAACGTTAGTTGGTGTCGTATTTTCTTTTTCTAAACTTTTCCCTGCGTATACACAGAAAGCATACGTGTACCCAGGTCTGCTGTGCAACTTAAATAATTTAATATCGCATTTGTGGCATTCGTGTTTTCAATATTGCCTAAATATTATGCGGCCACGAAATGGTATCAAAGATTCATCGATACATAGAGCTTCAGATGGATCATAATCTTTTTTGAAATTTATTTCCATGTTATCTGTTAGTTGTATTTTGCATAAACAATTGGAAACATCTGCCTCCCTATTGTCTGAAAAATGCAGCATTCGTAATAATGTTTCAAATCTATTTCTTGAGATTTTTTTCGGGAAAGTTTGCATACATGCAAGATCATGGGACCAATATAAACGTAAAAATGGTATCTAACTAGTCCATCCATAGAATCACCCAAAAAGTCTTTTCATTTCATTTCTGTTTGTCACAGTCCACCTGCACAAACACTGCGAGTTTTCAGCCCCTAGTTTTTGCGATGCATGTAAGTTCATTTCTTTGGCGAGATCCTCAAACAGCTCATTAGGCACAAACAGTTCATAAGAATTCTCTACTGTTGCACATGACTTTACATTCAAGTCTTTAGCCCTAAAGCCAGACGGATAGGTGAAAGGCATAGTCCTTGGTTGATTACCTCTGGATCATGCCATTCTTCAAAAGCCTCACCCTCATCCTCTGATGACGAAAAAGAATAACGTTTTTTAGGAAAACTAATTTCACTTGAGTCGCTTTCACGCGCTGCTTCTACTGACATTGTCACTGTTACGGGTAAAGAAAAACTGTTAAACTGCACTGGAACACGGACCACAGACAACTGACCGAAGAGAAAGCATTTCTAAAAGAACACAGAGTACAGATTGCGATAAACACATACAGGAATATGCCTGAAGATGTGCATGCAGTCTTATCGCAACCCTACTCAGCTCTCCGGCCGCCAGCATATCGGTGAAATCGGACATCGCGGGCTAAACGGAAAGGAAGACCAAGCCGGCCTGGCGCTAACGTGTTCAATGTCCTTTCTCTAAAAGGCCAGCCTCCTCTCTGAAGTTTGGCTAATGTTGACATTTCTCTGTGTTTACCTCCAACCACGGAGGAGATGGGAGCTGAACCAGCTGAGATCGCAGCGTTTCTGCCACCGGGACCCCTCGGCGACCGGCCTGCAGCAGCTGCTTTGCACTGACGTCCGCACCCCGTGTGCCAGGCAGGCGCCGAGTCACCCGTTTCCTAGGGCGCCCTGAGGCAGCCCCTCCCCAGCCTCGTCCCCTTCCCTCCTGATGCTCAGCGGCCGCGATGAGCGAGCACTTCACGTGCCTCCCGCTTCTAGTCCTTTTCCTCTGAGCAGCTGTCCGCCCTGCCAGGCTCCCTCTCCCGCCTGGGCCCAACACGCCCATCTGGCCGTGCCCGCAGCCCCGCTGCCCGCCCCTCGCCTGTCTTCCAGGTGATGGTGGATGGCATGTGGCCTCCCGGCGATGGGGGTCCTCCCGGCGATGGGGGTCCTCCCGGCAATGGGGGTCCTCACTTGCTCCTGCCGTCCTTGTCCTTGTCCTCATCTTTATCGTGTGTCCATGGGACCAGACGGTTCTTGTCTGTGGCCCGCTCCTGTTCCGTACGCCTCCCACACACCCTCCCGCCCACCACGAGGCCTGCCCTCCGCCTGCCGGGCTTGTCCCTGCAGAACAGACGAAGGTGGGCCTGGGACTCGTTCTGTGAGCATGGGCCTCCGTCGCCTGCGTGCTGGTGAGAACACAGCCTGGCGGGTCTGGCAGGAGGCCGGGCGCGCACAGCAGGGCCTGTGCCTGCGGCCTTGTCCGTGCACAGGGCGGGGCGAGGAGCAGACGGGCGGCCTCCGCGATGGGCATACTGGGCCGTCCCGAAGGAGGGGCCTTGTTCCCGCTGGCAAGGCGCTAAGGGCGTCCAGGCGCGGGCTGGGCCGGGAGGGTCTCAGGCCTGAGGACTGCGCAGCTGGCGTGCGGCGGGTTGGTGGGGCAGGAGGGGGCCTGGCCTAGTGAAGGGGCTGCTGTGGCCTGGAAGGTCAGGGATGTGGTGAGAAGTTGCAGGTGCAGTGGGCGTGCTGGGCTCTGCAGCAGGCGGTGGTAGTGGGGTGGGAGGTGGGCAGCCGCCTGCCGGGGAGGCCAGTGTGAGGACGTGAATGGGGGTGGGAGGGGGCACGAGCAGGTTCCCTTCCTCAGGCAGCACACAGCTCTGAGCTCCGGGAATCTCACCGGGGCCTGGTGGGTTCTGTCGAGAACAGAGTGGGACCCTCCAGAGCTGGGGGAGTTGGGGGGGGATAGGATCGGAGGAGGATGACCGGGAGCAGGAGCATGGACGGAGCCTCATGCCCAGAGCCACGGTGGAGTTGGCGCCAGCGTCCAGCCTGAGCGCCAGGGGCCGTCTGTGCTCCTGACCCTCCTGTGTCATCTCCACGGGGAGGCAGGCGGCTGTGTGGGCGGGGCTGGCCCTCTGAGTGAGGACAGCCTCACCCTGGCTGACTCCTGGACAGTCGCTCCCACTCCCGGGCGGTGTCTGCGGTGGAGGTGGCGCTCCCGCAGGCGTGCTGAGCCGGGAGCTGTGAGCAGCCTCACCTCGGGGGTGGACACGCTCGCTCGGGTGGCCCAGTGCGTCTGCTGCGACTGCAGGCGCGCGTTGCTGGCAGCAGCGGGTCTCGGGGGCCGGGACGTGGGGAAAGCTCCATGCCCCAGCACACACTGCCCATGTCAGCTCTTGCTAAGTGCCCGTTAGAGAAGCGCCTTTTCAGAAAATGCGCGTTTCTGAAGGTGAGACCCCTCGTTGCTCAGGCGAGGTACATGGGAGTCCTTGTGCAGCCTGGGGGGCGGGGCACAGGGTGGCTGGGCCTGGTGAGTGCCCACAGCTCCCCCATGTCCGCTCAGTGTCATCTGCCTCAGTGCCACGTGTCTGACCCGTGTCACCTGTAGAAGGTGGTGTCGGCTTTTTACTTTCCTGAGAGAAGGACAGAACTGTCTTCGTCGTGTGGAATGCCAGGTTTCGGGCTTTTATATAATTTTACTCAGAAGAGAAAGGGTCTGGGCGGGGGCAGCCGTGGGAGGTGGCAGGTGCGGAAGATGCAGGAACATGGGCTCCTCAGCGTCGCTCCCCATTCCTGGGGCCGAGGTGCCCCCCTCCTGGTGCAGGGCCTCCGCCCAGGACACGGGCGCCTGCTTGTTGGTGCCCAGGGGGAGGCTGGGGCCTCGCCGTGTGGGTGGGGCGTCCTCCCCTCACAGGGAGCTCAGCCCCACACAGAGAAGGTGCTGCTTGAGGGCCGCAGGGGCCGGCCAGCACCTGGGGCGGCTCGTGTCAGGACAAGCTGGGTGTCCTGAGCCACCGGGCGGCGGGTCCGTGTGCAGGGCCTGGGAGAGACGCTGCCTTCCTGCCTGAGGCCGGCTCACCTGGACCCACCGCGGACGGAGCAGAAAAGCTCTCGCCGCCTCCGCCTCCCATTTCTCTGTCCCCCTGCCGACCCCCTGGCTCTGCCCGCAGGTTTCGCTGGCACGCCCGGGTACCTGTCTCCAGAAGTGCTGCGGAAGGACCCCTACGGGAAGCCGGTGGACATGTGGGCCTGCGGTAAGCACCCCGGCAGGTTCGGGCAGCGCAGCTGACGGACTGAGATGGGACCTTCTCCATCTGCGCCTGGGGCCCTGCAGCGAGGTCACCGGGAGGGCAGGCGGGCCCTGTTGGCCGTCTCTGACTCAGGAGCCCCTTCCCGTTCCCAGGAGAGGCCCAGGGTGCTGGTCTGAGCGGGTCCTTGAGGTGAGGGACGTGGCGGCCCACGGTGAGCCTGCCTGGGCCTCTGTCCTCCTCAGCAGCCTCGTGGAGCCTCGGTTTCCACAGATCTTGCACGTGGGGAGGGGAGCAGGGGTGCCGCTTGGAGAGAAGGAGCCGGCCGTCCTGTGGGTCCGGGCAGCGCCGTGCCTGCAGCGGTCTCTCCGGGAGCTCACTGCCCTGGGAGAGGCTGAAGAAGGGGGACAGGCGCTCTGGGCGGTCCTGTGGGGCTGTGGACATAGTCCCCTCTGGGCACGCACGGCTCCCGCCGCCTTCGCTGCTCCTCTCTCAGCCTGGACGGGCTGCACAGCCTCGATTCTGAAAGGAACTTGGTTTTACTTAAAAACAAGCCCTTCCCTAAGGCGTGGAAGGTGAGCTGTTCAGGCTCTGCTGCTTGTGGCCGCGTCAGTGGCAGCACCAGGTGCCGTTCATTTAACCTGGGAGCACCCGGCTCTGGGCCCTCCTCGCCCAGGGCGGCCACTGGGAGGTCCCACGCTGGTCAGTCTTTGCTGGGCGCCTGCCGCCCCACCCGTCCTGCCTCTGAGTGGCTTCTCTACTGTGAAGGGGGAGGGGGCGGTATTGCCCTCGTGGGATTAGAAGTGGTCAAGTAGCACACAGATGAAATTCAGAGAGTCTTGGCTTTTCAATAAGTCAGCCCCACCAGCTCTGCTTCTGCTGCTGGATTTAGCAGGCGGGCACTGAGGGGTGTGGGGGGAGTGGGTGTGTAGCTGCCCTCAAACCCTGAACGCTGGAGGGAGGGCCGGTGGTACAGGCTGGGTGGGCACCTGGGCCTCCGCGGGCCACCGAGACCCTGTATTGAGACGGAGACCACGGAGCAAGGGCTTCCTCTCCTCGCAGGCTGTCCACACGCCCAGCCCCTGCTGTCAGGGCGGGAGTGTATGCCCGGCTCCATGCTCAGCACACAGCCCAACTAGAGGCAGAATGACTAAGAAACAGAAGCAAACTCTGAGACTGCACAAGTGAGCGAGCAGGAGGCAAGGCGGAAGCTCGGGAGGCCTCAGCTCGGGCCTGCGGGCTCTGCCATGGCCGTCGCCCGCGCTGGGCGCTGGGGCTGTGCTCGGGAGCATCCCCTCCCCCCGTGCCTCCAAGCACACCCTCTGCCTGCGGGGGGAGGGGGGCCGTCCAGGGCCTGCCACAGGAGCTCCGTGGCTGCGACCTAATGCTGTTCCCGCTCGTCCCTGCAGGCGTCATTCTCTACATCCTGCTGGTGGGGTACCCCCCCTTCTGGGATGAGGACCAGCACAGACTCTACCAGCAGATCAAGGCCGGAGCTTACGATGTACGTGGGGGCCGGGGCTTCCCGGGGCGTTCTCGGGGGGCAGCCCGCCTCCTCCCCGCCGCATGCAGGTCACCCACGGGCTTCGAGGTCATCCTCACAGGGAAACGTGGCGCGTCTTGCGTGTCCTCAGCCACGTCTGCTGAGAGCGAGAGGGAAGTAGCTCCCATCTGAGGAAGGACGTCTTGTCCAGTGTTGGCTCTCGGTGCATTTGAACACCTAGGAGTGGAGACGTGTTTGCTTCAGGAGGGCTCCCCCTGTGGGTGTAATACCGTCCCCAGCGCCTGTCATCACCTGCCGCCTGTGGCAGCACTTGCACGGCCTCACCGCCCCTCCCATCGCTGGGCTCGGTGCCTCTGGGCCCTGGGCCGGCTTCCGCTCGAAGAAGGGGCTGCACAGGGAAGGCCTTTGAAAGGCACAGGCCAGACGTGCTGTTGACGATCGGACGTTTGTCTGTGCACTCACCCATGGACTGAGGTCCTAATCTGAAGAGTAAGGCCGCGTTGTTTCCCTTCTTTCTTTACTTTTTAATAAATTTTTATTGAGTTCAGAGAGGAAGGGAGAAGGTGGGATAGAAACTTCAGTGATGAGAGAGAATCATTGACCGGCTGCCTCCTGCACGCCCTGCACTGGGGATCGAGCCCAAAACCGTGTCCTGACTGGGGATCGAACCCTGACCTCCTGGTTCATAGGTCGACGCTCAACCACTGAGCCACGCCGGCCGGGCTGGGCGTAAACTCTTATCCCTTCACTGAGAGCATCTCTGCTGAATGTGCTCATTATGTGAGTGAGGCTGCGTCATTATCAACAAAAACGCCACTTACAGGAACAGGGTGAAGCTTCGCTGTGAAGTCCCCGGTGAAGCGATTCCTGAGGGAAGCGAGGGAGCAGCCCTTCCAGGACTGGCTCTGGCGAGGTTCCTGGCGAGGGGCCAGCCTTCGGAAGGGCTGGCGTCTGGCCGAGGCTCACGGCCCATGCAGCCCGGATGTGGCCGGCCGCCCTGCTGTCCCTGCTCAGGGCGGGAGGTGCCCCGGGACCCGGGACCGGCATAGCGGCACGCAGGCGTCGGTACCTGGGGTAGCTCTCCGCTCTGTGCGTTAGTGATTTCTGTAAATAATCTGGGGAGGGTTGCCTAGAATTTCATGTTCAGATCCAAGCGAAACTCCAATGAGAGGACTAAGATTCTCAGAATTTCCTAAACTCCAGGATGTGTGGACCAGACATCACATGCCGAGTGTGTGTGTTTGCCCCCAGCAGCGCCTCTTCTCTGACAGAATGTAACTAGGGGACGGGCAGCTTCCACCTCGGTCGGCTTCTCTGGACGGTTCTGCTCCGACAGCGTGACCGATGGGAAGCTCATGGCCGCGGGGAGGAGTCTGTACTTGCTGCTGCCTGTCCCACGGCGGGGACCTGCCTCTAACTCTGAGTTTATGCCTTGAAGTTCCCATCACCAGAGTGGGACACGGTGACTCCCGAAGCCAAAGACCTCATCAACCGCATGCTGACCATCAACCCCGCCAAGCGCATCACCGCGTGCGAGGCACTGAAGCACCCGTGGATCTGCGTGAGTGGGGCCCGCCCGCCCGCCTGCGGCTGGCAGGGGCTTAGAGCACTTTTTGCAGGAAGAGGAGATGAGTGATTGCATTTTGTCTCCAGGTGTTTATGGGGCTAATTCCATGGTTAAAAACGCATTGTGGTAGCAGAGCTGGTTACAGACATGGCCAGACCCACATTGCCGACCATCACACGGCCGAGCGTTGCCCACTCATGACGAGTAACATTCACGAGCGCGAGTGAGGAGGCGACACCAGGCCTCACTGCGTCCCGGGAGTGAGGTGGCCCAGGCCATGCCTTGCCATCAGGCAGCTTCAGGGGAGCGCAGGGCTGGCAGCGGAGAGGTGGTCCGCGCAGGAGAGAGGCCGCCGGAGGCCGGGCAGAGCTGTACGCCTGCCGAGAACAGCCTGAGCGCTGGGGTGGATTGCAGCCACGCCTGGGATGCGGGTCAGACGTCAGGGTGCTGCCTGCTCTGCTGAGTCGAGGAGAGGCAGGCCTGTGGGGATCTGATGAGCCGTGTTGAAGGGAGGTAACGGGAGAGGCTGGCTAGTGCACACAGCTGGCATGTGTGCGGAGGGTCTGGGGTCCGGCCAGGTGGCGGGGTGCTGAGGGGGAGCCCTGGGTAACGTCCCTCCTCCCACAGCAACGCTCCACGGTGGCCTCCATGATGCACAGGCAGGAGACGGTGGACTGCCTGAAGAAGTTCAACGCACGGAGGAAGCTCAAGGTGAGGGCGCTCGTAAGGCGGGGTTGGGGGCGGGGGGGCGCGGAGAGCGGCTCTGACCTGGCAGAGTGCTGCGTGTCCTCTTGGGACTTGTCTCACGGTCCTGGGGCGTTGGGGACGCGCGGGAAGGGACCACGGTGGAGCACTAGGCTGTGACCGCGTGTGCCTGCCCTCCCGGCCGAAGAAGCGGCTGTCGGGGAGCCCGGTGTGCACACACGGCCTCGGCCCAGAGGCCTGCTGCCCGGGAAGCCGACAGGGACTAACGGGCCGTCACCCCGACCAGTCGGACTGGGAGGCTGTCGGGCCAGTGTGTGGGGCAGAGGTCACAGAGCACCGTTGACTTGTCTCCTCTCCCTGGCAGGGCGCCATCCTGACCACCATGCTGGCCACCAGGAACTTCTCAGGTGCGTGGGGGGACCTGGTCCTTGTCGTTTGTTATCCCTTCCAGCTGACTCTCTGGAATCGAAAAGTAATAATAACGAGGAACACGCTGTTGTTTGGGGATGGCGATGTGTCGTGGACTCGACCCCAACAGGCCCACAGGCTCCCTGCACAGAGGTGTGTCTGGGTTCAGGCAGGTGAGCCCCCCAAAGGGTGCGGCCGCCCCACCACCCAGCAGCCTGTGCCGACACAAGCCCCAGCTGCCGACCCTGCCTGTGTCGCCGTCGTCCTGGCTCAGCACCTGCACCTCGGATTTGTCAGCTGACGTTCCATAAAGTTCACAGCGAACGAGTGTCTCATTCCATCGGGAGTCCCAACAAGCGAGATTTTAAAGACCACGGTGGAGGAGCCGGCTCTCTGGGCTGCCTCCTCCCGAAAGCATGTCCCTGGGTGCAGGGGAGCCCGCTGGTGGGTGTCGGCTCAGTAGGGAGATAGGTCCCTGGGTGCAAGTGGAGCCCGCTGGTGGGTGTCGGCTCAGTAGGTATATAGGTCCCTGGGTGCAGGGGAGCCCGCTGGTGGGTGTCGGCTGCCCACAGGGATAGGTCCCTGGGTGCA